CTTCTCGGCTCACGGTGCAGAGCGCCGCTGGGCACCGCTTGTCTGGGCACTGATGGCACGTGGCGGAGTGGAGGCAGCCGATTCGGTGCCGTATTGGAGCGAGCGGCCCCGGTGGCCCGCCCTCATCCGGTGCACCGAAATGGCATCCTCTCGGTCCTCTCCGGGGAGAGGGAGCGGCGGCGTGCTCCCGAGGAGTGGCTTGAATAGGGATTCTGAGCAGTTGTCGCGCCACTGATGCGAGGCCGCACAATGAACCGCCCTGGTCAGCGATCGGGCGTTTGAGGGCAGGGCAGCCGCCAGTTTTGCCAGATCGTCCACGCTCTCATTCCCCTCGATACTGCAGTGGGCAGGAACCCACTGCTATTGCTTAACGACGCTTGGCGACGTTCAACAAGGTTTTCCATGTCTATCTCTACGCCGAAGGTTGAGGCGTCACCTGGGCGGCCGTTCCTCCGCTGAGTAGACTCAGGGCGGCTCGCCAGTTCGAGCACGCGACGACCGGGGCGGGGACGTCTCGTCCCGCAACCTCTCCAGAGCTGCCCACGGGGCGAATCTGCTGCTAGATTGACCAGCGTACCACATAAATTCGGTGACTGTCTTTCGCCAAAAAATTATGCGACCGCCCTGCACCGAAAGATTCGTCCGCCGCCATGCGCTGAATTCGGCGCATGCGAAGTTACGCCGGACGTGCGCTTAAATTTTCGGCGCAATCCCGCCACTACGCCGGACATATTCGGCATAACGTGTATTTTTTTCCAGTCTGGACCCCATGTTGCATATTTATATGAACTGTAGATCAGATATTTTTTGAACAAATACCCATCTTTCATCCTTTCAGCATGCCTACAACCTACTAAACAGCCTTGGTATCAACCTACCATTCATACTTTACCTACACATACATATTGATATATGGAGTATGTTTGGTTCAGTAGGTTATAGTAGGTCAGGTGCCTACATGCTATCATTTGTCATGCTTTGATTTCAGGTGGTGTCTTGTGGGCTTTATAGTGGGCTTTGTGGCCCTCCCTAAGTGCAAGGGTTAAGTGTTGATGCACATAATGCAATGTGTTTTTTTTTCCATGGGCGCAGGAACCTCACGTAAAGTGTGGGGGGGGGGGCAGAGAACTTCAATGTCACTTTGTGGGAACCCCAATGCCCCTATGAACAAATTCTTTGCAGTTTCGTGCTCATCTCACCTTGCCGAACAATTTTTTTCTCTTAGTTTTGAATTTAAATGAAAAATAAATATTTTACTTTAAAAATTAGCATAGCTGAAAAGTGGGGACATGCCCCCCCCCGATCCTAGGCCTATGTTTTTTTCTTAATGGTACAAATCATCCAGATTCATATGAGAAGGGTAGGTAGCTACCTACAAAATCAAATCAATGCCTCAATTGTTTATTGATTTATTACAAAAGTCCCTCCTTTGCCAATCACACTAAACTATCTACTGTCACAATGCAGTGTGCGTCATGATTTCTCAACTCTATGCATACAATATATTTCCATTTGTCAATCACATATTGTTTTTTTTTTTTACAGGCTTTCCGGTTATGACTGAGGCCAGCATCTCACGTGTCCTGGCTACGCCAAATCACTGCGGATGCCGGATGCCGAGGACCGGAGAGCCAACCGCTTTGAGGCGTGAGCTCTGTGGCGTGGCTCGAGTGATCACCAGGGTCTGACGGCTACGGCGCCGTCGACCTGGTTGAATAGCTGGGGCCTGGACGAGGGTGCCCTTAGTACGGTGGTCAATCGGTTACGTCCGAGGGGCGCTCGAACACGCTGCTGTCGCGTGGCTGCCGGCGGCCGCCCCCTCGCACGTGAATCTCCTGGAGCGAGGACTGCGGGAGGCGGCCGCATCATCACCTGTGTCCGCGCTCAACACCGTGCTTCGCACTAATGGCGGAGCCCGACTTTCTCCGATGGAGGAGAGGAGCTGGACGCTGGCTGCCAGGCTGCTGGGGAGGGCGCTGGGTCTACCATCAGGGGACCCCCTGCGCGCGACCGCCGAGGCCTCGGCACCGGCGCGCCTGCCTTTGGTCCGAGGCTGGAGATTGCGAGGCCGCCAGGCCTGGGCGAGAGCGAGAATCCCACCGTGGCAACAGACGGCTGGCGTCACCTTCCGGATGGACGTGTGCCCGATCCGGGCTGGGGCCACGGCGGCGGAAAGGGAAAGCGTGGCTACGCTGCACCTCGCGTTCCTGCCCCTGTGTGCTGTCCGGCTTTGGACGGACGGATCTGTGGAGGGCGGAGTCTTCAGGCGCTGGGCGGGAGCCGTGCTGGTCTGGTCTGGCTGGACGAAGAGGTCGAGGAACTGCGGGCCCCGGCCGGAGAGCTGTGCTATAGCTACCGCGCGGAGATGGTGGCGCTGGTGACTGGTCCGGAGACCGTACTCGGAAGAGACAGAGACCAGGGCCTGCGGTCCGTACCTATCTGCTAACTGTGCGGTAGTGCTGGTGTAGTGCAACATTTTTGGATGGCTAGCTACATTTCACGATTAAATAGCTGGTACGTTTCAGTGCAGGTGGCGTGACGAACAATGTATATGTTGGCCACTTCTGCGGCCGCTGCTATTTCCTACTCGAAGGCGGGCGCGCTGTTTGGCTGGGCCGGCAGGATGTTCCCATTATGTGTCGACGACAAAGCGACTAGCGAGTATATTCATGTTCTTTTAATGCACAGAAGTCTGTTGTATATTTGAAGTTTTGTTTTAGGTTGACGATTGCGAAGGGCAAATTCATCTTCTCTCTTTCATTTGTGTTGCCACTTTAACGTTCATGTTTGTTATAAGTGTCCTGGTCCGGCTTGGTTGTCATCTTTATTCGTGATGTATTTTATTTTACGAACATGCTGATGATCAATGCAATACACCTTTGCTTAATAATGCTGCTTTAGCTCTGATCCTTTGTGGTATGTCTTGATTGTACTACTGCGATAGTCATTTTTCCTCACCAAAATATGCAGGCAACAAATGTAAATGCTGCCAAAAGTTTGTCATTGTGTGATGTATCTAAAAGACATCAAGTTTCTGAACGTGGTCGTGTACTACGCAACCGGAAACTCAATAGGACGTGGAATGCTGTGAAGCAAAACTACAGAAGTGAGGCTGGCCACGCCAAAATCAAGTGAGATATGTCTAGCCTTTCTTCAGCCGCCAAGGCTTCGACAGACTATCCGCGGGTTCGGTGTCTCTAGAACTACGAAGATTCAACGTCGTCCGGCCAATCCTGGTTAAGGTCAGCGGGGACTTAGCTGTGGTTATGGAACAGGATTGGCCGTCCGAGAGACTCCGAACCTGCAGGGTATGTTGCAGCACAGCTATGTCGACCGAGTGTCGTCGCAAGCTGCCCCACTCGACGAGAAAAAGTAAAACCGTCCCGTCCTAGGCTGACTAGGCTTAGCTAGGTGGCAGCACAGTCGCACCGGCAGGGGGCAGTGCCACAACCAGCCGACTGATATTTTCGTGTGACGTCAGAACCGGTGCCTCCCTGGAACAGAGTGACCGCGCAAATGCACTCAAACCCCGCGCCGTCACCGTCACGTGACACGAGTCGCTCCGCCAATCAGGGGAGGCCGCCGCCTTAGCGGCCTTGCCGCCCGGGGGCGCAGGCGGCCGCCCGCCTGCCGCCGAACGCTGCTCGCAGATGCCGGCCCGGCTCCGGGGCCGACCCAGAGAAGACGCTCGTAGTGTCGCGGAAAAACCGGTTATATCTTGTCATATATAACCGGGCGTATATAAAATACGCAAAGCACGTGGTTGCGCACGTGGCTTTGTTGCAAATTTTTGGACATTTATGCTTTGGCCACTTAAGATATATTTTACACTCATACGGAGCGAGGGCAGGAGCCCAAAGTTACTAGTCGTTTTTTTTCCTTATACAGAACAAGAACAGGTTATTTACACCGCAACAGGAGCGGTGGATTACACTTACATTTGGTGCTATCAGAAACATTGAAACCGTACGCCGACTTTTCAGGAAACGTTTCACTCTCTCACCTCGCTACGACCCAGATTATAAAAGTTTCAAAGGGCTTCTTGAGAGGTTTAAAAGGGTTCCTTTGATGCCGGTTCCAGTCCAAAAAAAGGCGGGTCGCCCCCACCTTTTGGCGGAAATCGTTGAAAAGGTCAGGGTCTTTCTGAGGGCCTTTTAAGATAACAAGAAGCTTATTTCAACATCAGAAATAGCCAAGCCCCCAATTTATCAGAAACAACCGCTGTAACGGCTGTAGCCACCAAGAACTGGCTGGACCAGAAGTTCCGTTCCCGGGCCGAATAATCAGCTGCTTCACCGCCCGCCCCTGGCCAGCGCGAGGCCCCGATCTGTCACCGCTAGCCTTCTGGTTTTGGTCAGTAGCTCTCGCGGAGCTGAGGAAGACTTAAGTCGCATCACTTTTGGAGCTGAGGAGCACAATGCAAGGCTTTGCCGACAGTCTGGACGCTGAAGATGAAAACGGGCTGTGAGGCACCTCCTGACACGTGCCGAAACGGTGCATCGAAAGAAGCGGCGGATATGTGGAATAGGTTTGAGTGACGGTGATATCATTTTTATATATTCAAATGTCCAACAATCGCGGATGGAATGATGTGCAAATGTCCATAGAAAACATTGTTATTATGTGCATTAGGGCCTTTTACTTTTTGACACTTTTAGTGAAACACCCTGTAGGAGGGGAAAGTTTGACGGTGAGTGGGAGGACGCATGATGGAGGATGGGATGAGGCATGATGATATCTCACTGGCTGTTTAGCTCTGTCTCGTCAATTGATACTTTGCTCGTCATTTTTATTCCAATTTATTTTGCAACTTCCACTGAATTTATTTTAAGACTGGTACTGGTCACTCTTCGTGTTTCAATCTACAATTGCACTACTGTTTTCTGTCGAGGTTCAATGTGCCTGCAGCATGGTCAAATTTGCTCGTGAAAAGTGTTGACACAACTGGCATTGGTGTGCATGCGCACGTTTTTGTTATATTTCCTTGTTTTATTTGACAGTGTTGAAAGTTCAGAAGTACGTACCGCCGGTGAAACGTCCGGAAAAGCTCTGTGAGTGCTTGGACATACTTTCTGAGATGAGTAAAGAGGTAGTGGATCTAGATTGAGCTTGAATTTCATATCATCGTTTTCATATCTCTTCTATATGCTATTTCACTGTAACGTGATAGTCTTCTTCGCTGCTTTTAATGGTCATATCCGTGCATGCATAATGCATCTTATGGCGGCTTGGGCATATCGGACATTATTTGGGTCTGGCCTGTCGGCATCAGCGTCATGTTTCATTATATTGCCAATCTATACCGTTGCACACGATTATTTTATCATTGCATTATCACCTCGAAATTGCCTGTGTCGTTAACAGGTCAATAAACCACCGAAGCCTCCTTTTTCACTACCTGCCCTCCTATGACCCCGTCCACGCCGCCGACCTGCCCTGATCCGTGTCTCTGGCGCCGCCTGCAGATGAAATTCAGAGCCGCACCCTTCTCGGTGACGCCGAACACAGCAGCGGCTCCGTGCTGGCCAAAATCGTTAAACCCAACATCGCGGTGGAGAATGGCGTCATCCACTTGATCGAGAAGCCCCTGATGGTGATGGAGAACTCGGCGTTCGACTTCATCCAGGTGAGGCTGACCGCTGGGTCAGAGGTCAGAGAGGCTAGGGGTCAGAGATCAGAGGCCAGAGGCCAGAAGCTAGAGGTCAAGTGGTCATAGACCAGGGGCCACAGGCCACATGATTATGTCAAGAGTCTAAGCGATGTTTTTCTTCGTCTGACAATGAGTGAATCTACCTTTATCTGCAGTCTGGCTATGTTATGTAGAGTTTTTATTCTTCTGGAAGGCGCTACTCAGCCAAAGTTCAACGGCCTTCATCCGTGACACAAGTGTATTTCAACAGGGCTGTCAGAAACGTGAACAGATACGTGCTAGGAAGCGACTAACCTAATTATGAACGCCGGCAGGTTCCACTAATTTACTCTGTTTTTTTTTCTCCAGCGAGGGTCAGAGGATCGGTTCTTCATGTTCTTCGACCTGCTGAAGAACAACGCGCCCGAGTTCCTGGACACGCTGCGGCAGCGCACGGACGGCACCATCTTCATTCCGTCCAACGACGCCTTCTACACCGTCGACCAGAAGCGGTAAATGCATCATTTGACACTTGCACTGTAACTTGATCGGACTTATGCACCTCGATTAATGGAAAACAATTTAGCTCGTCTTGAACCCAACTCAAATGTTTCAAGACTTTGACAAGAGTGCATTTTCTTGTGCCGATGCTGCGATGGATATCATATAACGCTACCGTTGCTTAGCTCCCAGCTATCACCATTTTCCGATATATTCTGTCATAAACTGATTGCAAAGCCAATGTCGGCCCATACAAGTTTCGACGTCAATTTTAAATCAACTGCCTGCGTTCTCCCAGGCTGACGGAGATAAAGCTGTCGCCCGATAGGCTGAAGAAGCTCCTCAATTTGCACCTGGTCCCTACCCGGGTCACCACTCAGGACGTCAGAAAAATACCCGGAACGACGGTAAGGCAGCATCAGAAGATAAATGGCTTAGGATACACTTGTAATGTCTACATTGCACTGGGAAGCGAGCATGTGTGCAGTAATGAGTAAACGCCACTTTATTAGCAATCTGGCTACAACAGTTAGTTACGTAGCTGAGACGATGTGCCCCGTTGCTGTAACTTATAGCTCTACCAACAGATGGCAGCAGTAGTCAGCGCCTGAATTTATGCTGTGCCGCAGTGCTGCCTCTAACGTTTAGCACTACGGCTAGGGGGCAGCTGGTGTCAGACTCCAGGCTCTGTTTACCGCCTAATCGAGTAAAAGCTAATAACTCTTTTTTACCAAGCGTAATTTGAATATGGGCACGGCATGCTTGTGCTATGAGTCATCTGAAGTATGTTAGCTGCGCAATGCCAATACTGACAGATTATTATTGACACAAGGCATAACCCATGAACTTCAAGACGAGATGACTACGCCTCTCACCGCCCTCCACCCTCCTGTATCCCCGCAGCTGTTCAGCGTGCCCTCGGAGGACCAGAGTCGCTCCCTCTACCTCTCCGTCTGGGGAGTGGCCGGAAAGAACCAGACGATGACGGTCGAGGGTGGCGGCACCAACGCCACCGTCGTCATCGCCGACATCGCCGCCCGCGACGGTGTCATCCACATCATCGACAAGCTGCTGGGCGTGCCGTACCGCTCCGTCGGAGAGAAACTGGCCGTCGATGCCATGATGAGGTGAGAAATGCCGGTCTGATAAATTGGTGATTCTGATGTAAGGCTTTTCGCGGGTCTGCCAAGACGATAGGTCATGCTTGGAAGGCAAAAGTTGTTATATTTGCATTAACGTTAAGTTGAGCGTGCCTAAGTATAGCTTTCCTTTGTCGATCATCAAATCATCAAGGAGCAAATTGCAAACGGGGAGGCAGTGTATGTTGAGCGGTACTTATCGACTGTTGGCACAACGCTTGTCTCGGCACGGATGGTATGATTTTTTTTTTGTAAAGCTCTTTACAGTTGACGGTAATTCTGAAGCAATTCGGTTAAATCGTCGACAGGAATACTTAAGATCCGTTTAATATCTAATGAACGTTCACCGTTTTTCAGCGACACCAACACTCTGGCGGTGCAGACCAAGTTTTCCAAGGGTGTGAGCCGCATGGACAAGAAGTTCACCATGCTCGTCCCGTCCAATGATGCGTGGAAGAAGATTCAGATGGAGTACGTGACCTCGCACAAGTCGCTGTTCGAGGGACGAGCGTCGCACCCGGTACGGATAACTCTTGTCAAATCGATCCATGTATTTGTCGATTTATTACAGATCAATCGATCAATCTGTCGGATTGATCTTTTTCTATCCTACGGAAGTAGTTTGAAAAGAATCGTAAGCTCTATAAATGAGCGATTGAATATTTTCACTCTGAAATCCGGTCGCCACTGCAGATCTCGTTCTTGAAATTGCGTTTATATTCACAGGCCAACACGATTCTGGAGCGTCACTTTTTGATTGGTGAGGCGCTCAGTATGGATGACCTGGTCAACAAGTCCAAAGAGGAAGACGGCGTGAAGTTCTACAAGACCACTTTCCATGTGGAGAATGCACCCGGAATGTCAGGTACGCTTGATGACACGCTCAGCTTGTTATGAATCGATTCTCTCACTTGCAGTTGGTGCTATTCACTGAATATTTCGCCTCAGTTAAAAATGGCTTCGGAGAGGTTGGTATACATTCAAAAGAGCTTAGTAAATGATTGCTGATTACCATCTTGCGATAACAGGACAATGTCTAGGTTGATTTTGATAGCGTGGCTCGTTTTTACACGACGTTGTTTTGCAGCGTCTGGGTTTCGAATGAGAGGTAATTCGCCAGCTCTACAAGCATACTGCTTTTCCATGTAGCTAGTTGCCTGCATTGGACTGATACCATGCAGTATGCGTATACCTGATCCCTTTACGTCCAAGAGCAATTCTCGGCTAGCAATCAGTAAACATGCGCTCGTTTTCCGCTGTGGTGTCGTATTTTTCATCTTCCGGTAGACAGTCTTTTGAAGCGCCTGAGCAAGGTTGTTTTAGCCCGAACACAAAAAGAACAGAAAAGCTATCCAATCGCTTCATAGTAGCTGATTAATCATCTGTTGATTGGAATGTCTCCCTACATCATGTCATAACATCAATGGCTGGATTTAAATCCCTACACATTCAAGAGTTATACAGACTGTAGGATGCTTTAGGCTGTGCTGAACTACCCCACGTTTTTGAATCCTTCTTAGAACATTCAACTTATGCGTACCCGGTACCAGCCACTTTTGCAGTGTTACTTCTTTGACTTCATGATTGGTGGTCACTGATTACGGAGGCTCCCCGTTCTTAGCTCGATAACTTCAGCAAGCACTGTCCAAACGACCAATAAACCTAAGTTTCAGTCGTCAAAATACAAGTTTTAGTTTCCACAATATAGACCGCCCAAGTTTGGTCAATTATTTGACCCACTCTTCCCACCCCCGACAGGCTATTTGGTCAAGTGGCAGGGGATGCAGGCACGCGTCACCCGCTCCAACGTCGAGTGCACCAACGGCTACATCCACGTCATCGACTCGGTGTTCATGCGTCAGCGTGACGTCACCACGGCGTCATCGGCGGCGGCACTGGCCGGCTCGGTGGCGTGCCTGGTCGCCGCGCTGGCACTGCTGCGGCTGTGATCGGCGGGCCCAGTCAGCGGCGAATCCACTGCATCTCAACAGTCTCAGCGAGCGACCGGCAGCGCGAGGGAGGGCCGGGAGGGGTGTGACGTGTGTGATGGGTGTTAGAGTGATTGGTGCATGATGAGTGCAGGTGTAGGTGCGACACGGATAGGTGCGTAGAGTGGCGGCCTGTCCACTGAATGTTTGTGTGGGCTGATGTGTGTATAGCTATGGAGCCACAGATTGGGCCTGCCGGTGTGTGTCTAAGCCGAGAGGGGAAGTTCCGGGCCGTGTTTGGTCTGCGGGGTCCAGAGATTCCGGTCTGTGTCACAACCTTTGAACGACAGGTGGCGCGCAGGTCGCTGAGCATGGCGCGTAGGTCGCCACGGGTGGCGCGCAGGTCGCTGTAGATGGCGTGCAGGTCGAGTCGAGAGCTGCCAGGTCCGAGGCAGGGTTGTATACCAATCAAGTCGATTGAATTGATTGATTTGTTTCAACGCGTATTTTGAGTTGATTGGATTGAGTCGATTGACTTTTCGAGATGACTGGTTGACTGACTCGTTTGACTTTAGCGACTGGTTGACTGATTTGATTCCCGAAAATTAGAGTGACTCGTATGATTGAGTCGATTGAATGGAAAGTTCAAATAAGTTTTAGTTGACAAAAAATAATGACACCAATTGATGACATCAAAGATCACAAAACCACACTGAAAACTGCTTGTCATCACAACTGCAATATGGGGTAGATGGCCAAATAAAGAAGAGGGCCTAAACATGAACACCAAACTTTGACTTTCAACTGCAATAACTCATAACTGCTCCAATCCTGGTGATAGAACCTGGCGATGCACCTACCTACCTTTCTGCACTCAGCAGGAAACGTTTTTTTTATAATCCAGATGATAAAGTGCAAGGCCATATATACTAATAAAGTGTGATTAATTAATAATTCACATCTCCACATCTCCTCGGAAACAACCCACTGAACTCTATAAATATCTGAAACCCCTACAAAAACAACTGAAACAAAAGCGCCGTTTTCGTCTCGCTAATTAAGTTTACTCACCTAATTAATAGCTAATTTGCTGCATTGTTTAATTTGCAGCAGAACGTTTGTTGATCCCTTTCTCCTGAGAGACTAAGCTTAACATATTTAATATATTTCATTTTCCTTAAAATATTTTACCGAATATTATTGAGTGGTTTTATTTCAAATGAAATAATAATTAAACCGAAATTGGTGTTGTACAACCGATTTATTTTATGATGATCTACCATACTGCATGATATTCAATGACGTCATCTCACCAAAAAATCAAAAGACGTAGAATAAGGATTTATAAAAGCTTAGCATATTTATTGGCAAAACGTTTTCTTTGCAGTCGCACCGTGCCGTTTTCGCGTTTTAATTTTCCTTGTTCCTACTTCCTTTGTCCTTGACATGCCACGTCCAGAGTCGTGGAACGCTAAATACTTCAAATCTCTTCCTTCCCAATCTGACAACATCCCACGTCTCAAATGCACATTGTATGGAAAGATTTTTTCAGACTGCCCGTCAGTCTCGGTCTAACCGAAACCGTCACATGCTGGTAAGATATTTATTTCTATTTCCCTATGGTTAATATGTCATTGATGCATATTATCCATTAAAATAGAATAAAATAGGCATGGTGTATAAGGGTAAATGGCCAAATCACGAACACTGCCAAAATCCGAGCAGCCAACTTTCAACTGCAATATCTGATATTTAGTGTAAATGGAGTTGGAATATGGCCAAAATGAAATTGACAACTTTTAGGTGAAAGGTGGTGATTTGGGTTAAGGGGCGAGTCAACTACTGGGTTATTTTGCACCCATTAAATGAAACTTCTGCTCCAATTCTACCCATTGAACCTCAATATCCTGATCCACCTGTCCATCACTAGGTATCCATCCTTATTACATAGAAACTTTGAATGGCATGGCAATTTATAATTTTAAATGACAATATTTTTATGTTTCTTCTGTAGGTAGGTTGGTAGGTAGGTAGGTACACCAGACTGCTATGGACACTTTTCCAAGTTGGTGGGGCAAAAAACCTAATGTATGTCTTGGTTTGAGTCGTTTGATTGAGTTGATTGATTCCTTTCATTGTCGCGTTTGAGTCGATTGAATCAATTCCCGAAAACTGCTCTAACTTAATGGATTTGATTGGTTTCCCAAATTTGTCGTGATTGAATTGATTGCTATTGATTGAGTCGTATACAACCCTGGTCCGAGGACCCCTCCAAAGAGACACGCAGAGGTGGCTTTCTAGCGATGTTCACAGAGAGCTATTGCCTAGTGGCTTGGTCGTGCTGTGTGGAACGGGGTGATGCTGGGACTACCAAAATCAGCTCCTGAGCCCCGCTAACGGCTTCCATTCCGAGGGCACGGTACGAAAGGCATTATCCACAGCGACAATGCGGACTGAGGCCTGGGGGCTGGATAAATCTCCTGTCGGTGTGAACTGATTTAATAGCGAGTGTGGAGGAAGAGGGCCGTAAGTCACAGACCACCAGTCTAGAGTCGGAGTCAATGATGTACAGTGCTGCTGATGGTGTGCGCAAGAACGGTTCGATAGCCGATTATTCGTCGGTCCTAGTAAGACTAACTGTAAAATGAGAATATGACTACACCTTATATTGACAAGTGACCACTACCAAATGAAGCCATTAACAGCGTTCTCGAAGATCGGGGAAGTCGCAGTGCCTCGAGTGTAGATCAAATCCAGTAACGAATCTCGATTACGAATCTCCAGAGAATCGCCGGTGAAATGTCGTCCTAGTGGCAGGCGCGTCCTGCTCTGTGTCGGGGAAATGTCTAGCCTCAGCGCCGCCTGCCTGTGGTCTATTAGTCGCTTTTGATAAGCGATACAACAGCATTTAACGTGTAAACTTAGAGGCATTGTCTCAGCGCTACTGCACCTCGAGCGTCTGCGTATGTTTGTGTGTTTGTGTGCTCTATTGCTTTGTGAGGTACGTCTGCTCGTCCGAAGCTTTGTTCAAAGTGTATTCGCGGGTCGTTTGTGTCAGTGGGCTTGCATTTAGTCCAAAGATGTCAACTAAGCGGCGCATTGAAGAGCTAGGATGTAAGTGCCAGTGAAGGTGTACACGTCTGTGTTCTGTTTAGTATTTGGATTCACATTAGCTCTCACTTTGAGTCAGTACTTTGTGTCGGGGCTTTATGTCAGTGACGGGAGAAATGGGGCTGGTATTTCATGTCCAAGCTTTGTGAGTTGCCGCTCCTGGTGCTCGAGCACTGTGCGGCGGCTGAATATAGGACCTGTACGGGGCGAACTTAGTCAGTTGGTCCCCCCAGCCACGCCTGCTTCACCCTAGGGCGAGAGATCATGGTGAAATGGCGCGTCTGTCCGCCGGCCCGGGACAGGCAGCCTCTGTCAGGGCGACTGTGTCGCTCGCTTCGAGTACGTATAATGTACATGCTTAGCTATGACTGTGTAAACTAAGTCCTCAGACATACTATGTTTTGATGTTCGGTGAAGACACTACTGCCACGAAGCCTCAATACCACACTGGTTCTGGTGAGGAGCATATGGATCTTTTACTCCGTCGATGCGCGCTCCTTTCCTCGTTCGTTTGCGAAATATCCAATCAACAAGCCGTCAAGCCTTGCCTTCTACGATATTTCTCAACAAGAGTTCGGCCTATTGCGAGGTGACCGTGAGGGAGGTATTGTCGTCTCAAACAACGCCAAAACAACTGCGGTGCCAGCTTTTGTGACTCGACCTTGACGAGCGATCGTTTTGACTGAGGAACACAATGGATCGGGCGATAAAGTGTTGTTCACAGCATTGGCGGCAAGTCGAGTTCAGCTCACGGACCACGATAAAATCCGTCTAGACAAATGTAGCAGCTATGGCACCGAATGCGAGTTAGTTCAGTTCAGTCGCGGCTTCATCAGTTCAGAGTTTTCAGATTTCATTAATTCAGAGTTTCTCAGAGCTTCATTAGTTCAGAGTAGAATAGAACATGCACTGGACACGAAGAATGTCTCAAAATGAATGAAATATCCTTATTGTCTCCTGGTTTTAAAGTTATAATGTCCTGTTAAGAACTGTTTACTTTGTGTGTACCCCCGTTTACTCATCCGTTCACCATTTACTTTGATGTAGTTTCAAATGTTCGAATTCAAATCACCTTTATTAACAAAGTGATAATCGGGATTCTCTTTAAGCCTTCATGGCTTCTATCTTTCGAGGAAAGGTCATAAAAATAAATTGCCTGCATTGGCTCCAATATCTCCAAAGTTCACACAAATTGATTTTCTTCATCTACGATATGTATTTATCACGAACAATGTATGCATGACGTTCAAGGGCTACAGTACATATTCATGGTTATGTGATGTGTCATGCCTGCCAGAGGCTCAACGACCATTGAGCTGAGAACGTACTGTTCCAGTTCACAACTCCTCTTCAGAACTGGTCCGAAACCTGAACCAAATGCCACGTTCACACACTTTACAAGAATACACCGCCCTTCTAGCTGCAATACTGCACATTGGCTTGATTCTAGCACCCTGTTCGCATTCAAAGACTTTCACTGAAACGATGATAGCAGGCTGACTAAAACATTCGAATAGAACGGCGGTTACTACGCAGAAGAACATCATAAATGAACACTGATAGTTTTCGGAATCATGGCTACACTATTTGGTGAAACATCTCATAACCGCAGTAAAATGCCAATGACGAAGGAATGCAGGTGACAGTGTACAAAGAGTTCACCCGTAACAGTTCTCTCATCCACACAAACCGTCTTCTACATATATAAATAACTCACGCTCACATACCGCTCACACCCAAGATGCCCATGTTTCAAAATCACAACACACTGGCAGTCACTGGCTGGGCTAGCGAACCTGTGACGAATATCACACTCACGCAAACGCGAAGGAGCAGACGGTACTTTTACTTCCGCGAGGAACGGACGCGGACGTGTCGCTTTGAGCGCGGTTGGCACCCGACCGTAGAACTCGGCTTCCGGTGGCTAACCGCGAGATCACGTGCACACACAGCCTACACGGCGGTGTTTGGAACATCCCACACAGCTGTAAACCCTCACCTAACTATAGGACGTAACCAATTAACAGTTCGATGCCCAGACAAACCTCCTATCGACGGCCCAAGGCCAGTCAAGAGGTATAATACTAGAACCATAGTTCATGGTATCAGATAAAGATGATCAGTTTCTTTCAAGATGCTCCTGAAATTTCAAGGACCGTAACTTCTACGATCCCGAAACCCTGTGACCTTCATTCGTTCGTAATGCTTGGTGGGCGAGGTCTTGAGGTCACATCGACCAGTTGACCGAACGATCACATCGACCGTTTAGGACGCCGTTCGGAATTTTTCAAGATCCCGACAAAGCGATTCCCTCAGCCGTGCCGTCCCCTAGCCGAGCCA